CTACCTGGTTCAGGGCACAATCTGTGAGTCGGAGAGCGGCGCAGCTGCTGCGCCCTAACCGCTCGGAGTTTCGGGACGGCATTCTTTATTCAATCCCCATCCTGCTTTTCGACGTTGTCAGTGACAAAACCATGCCTGCAGGCAACAAATGTTACTGCCGCACTACGCGGCAAGTGAAACAAATAGGGCCAGCAGGGCCGGAGCTGCTCTCTGGCGACGGTGGCATCCAGCCACCACCACCACCAGCCCCACGTGTCCTAGGTCCCCACACAGCACAGGTGCCCCACCCAGCGCCTCCAATGGCGCCGCAGCCGCAGCGTCCGCACGCAGTCTTGGCGCGGCCGCCGCCTCAGCCCGCGGGTGCCACCCTCAACCACCACATGGCCCCACTCCAGCACCCCCATGCCGAGGCGCTAGTGGCAGCCGCGGCGGCCGCCAGCCAGGGAGCGGGCCCATCCAGCCTTTCCAGCCTGGAAAGCCTGTTGGATGCCTTCTTGCAGGCAAGTGACGGGCTGCCTATTGTTCGACCTGGGCCCTGCCAGGTCAAACTGAGCCTGGAGCGCACACTCATCCCCACCACATGTGCTGTGCTTCCTTTTGGAGCGCACCAGACTAGGATTGCATCACTTACCAGCAATTGTGTGTGCCACTGATCGCAGGGCGCCGCCAGCGAGGCCACCTGCCGCCAGTCTGCTGTCCTTGCCAGCGAGCAGCTGATGCAGGCCAGCTGGGTGAGCCCGCGCGCCTGCCCGCCGCATGCTAGCATGAACAGCAACCGCAATGCTCATCTCCGTACCCCTGCGAAAGAGGCATGTTGTGTTTTGGCAGCCGCGGCGTCGTCCAGTCCCCCTGCCCAAGGTCTGCTCACGCGGCCTATCATAGCGGGGTGACTGTAACACAGGGTAACACAGTCTCACTTTTGCTAAGCCCAGCTCCTGTGCGCCCTCCCGCCGCTTGCAGCTGCTCCCCCTGCTGTCTGCCGAGCTGCGCCTGGAGAGGAGCCTGCAGCAGCTGGCGGCGGAAGGCCTATCTTCCACCGGCGCACGGGGTCGCACTGGATGGCTGAGGAGACAGGCCGGTGGCAGCGGCTGGACCGCACCCAGCGCCCATGCCCCCACTGCCAGGCCCCTCTAGAGGACGTACGCCACGCAGTGTATGACTGCCCCCTATACGCTGGGCTGAGGGAGGAGTATGCTGAGCTCTTCCACAGTCCCGGCCACGCCTTGCCCTCCCTGGCCGCCTTCCTCGGCCAGGCCAGGCAGGGCCGGCTGGCCCGGTTTGCCGACCGGTGCCATGAGGAGCATGCTGCTGCCCTGGCACAGTGACTCCCCCGGTTCCCTTGAGTAGGGCCCAGGCATCTTTTGCCCGGCCTTGGCTCCCGACCCACCCCCTCCCCCCGCAGGTAAGAGCAGCGTCAGCGTCAGCAAGCAACGGTCAGCGGCAGCCCCACCACCCCCAC